ATTGAGCAGTAGCGTAATACCAGGAGGGTATTTTTGTTGTTGTTTTGAAGAAAACTTAGAAATAAAACGCAGTAAGTAAAGTATGTTATACCCAGGTATTCTTTGCCAAGAATGCTCATAGAATCATGTTTTACTAACAGACAAGAAATTGTCAGTTTCATGTTGTTAACTAAAGACTTTGCTACTCCTCAATCCCAGATTAGAAAAACTTTTAGGAAAAGAATAAACAGCAGTCTCTGAACGATAAAAAAAGCTTTCTGCATTTATTGGTCAAGTTGTCACAGAGGTGAAAGCACCTTCAGTAATCCACTGACTGTATAATCCTTTGTATGATGATAAGCCTTCTTTACCACCTGGACAATACCACGAATTCCAAGAAAATCATTGTAAAGAGGATGGCTCTATACTGAGATCCCTTGCCCGGATTTTAATTTTTCTATAACACTCCAATTTCCAAAGAGTACAGTTACTTAAAATCCTAAAGGATAGTTATACAAATATTACATGAACAGCCTACATACAAAATCACCTCTTCCTAAAAAAAAACCCCAAACTTAAATCCATCTATCAAACAGTAAACTGTAAAAAACTGAAAGTGAAAACCAAAGCTATAAGAACATCCCATCTCCTACATACATATTCTGTCACTTACCAAAATAGTTTTCAGCTCCACCATAAAACTGGCAAGATCTGGACAGCTCTGCAACCTCTGGAGGGAACACAATATCAGTTCATTTTCTTCAACTCATAACTTTTAGCAGTAAATAATTTCAGTCTAACTATCTATTTTTCTAGTATTGTCAAACCAACTAACAAAAGACCCCAATGGTACACCACATTTAAGTATTTCAACTACAGAACAAATCTCCCAGACTACAGGAAACTACTGAAAATTAACCATCACCTTCGTCACATCATGTCACATTACACATTTCTATAGTTTATGAAGACTTTACACTTGATGTATTTGTGAAGACATTTACGAAGACTTTAGTCTTCACCAATGAGAACGGAAGCTTTAGAATCACTCAAAAATGTTTCCTAGTTGGTTACATTTTCTTTAGGAACTCTCCAGACCTGTCTGCTTTTAGATGCTGTACATGATTAAGGAGCCCTGTCTATCTTCAGATGCGGTACATATTTACACTTCAGTTTCCTCGACTCTCTATCTTGGGTTACTCCCAACTCACAACCCTTGTTCTACGAAGGGGTGCACAGTCCACGAGATAGTGTCTCAACTAGCACAGGTAGCAAAGATGCCTTCTTAGAAACAAAACATTCCTCGTGACTGCAGGACTGTTGTATCCTTGCTCCAAAGCTTCTCCTGGATAGGACAGTTTAACTTAGAGTCCTTGACTGTCTACAACACAGCATGAGCTAGGTCTATCAATAATTAATGTGAGTTCTCTTCTTTGCATTATGAACAGTTTGTAAAAACTAAATATATAAAAAAGGAAAAACAAAACCTCGCTTCTAATTGAGAGATTAAAGAAAAATTCCAGTAAAATGTCAGAACGATTTTTAATCAATGGCTGCTATCTCAATCTTCAACAAAATAAAGCTTGAATAAAAACAAGTATTTACTAAATTCTACCCATCTCTCTTTAGATTGGCCTGCAAGTCCTCCAGCATTTCAAAATAAATCTTGGCTATACAATGAAAGGAGAGTTCTTTAACACTTTTAGAATAGGTGCGTGAGTATAAGCTTTTCAAAATTATTATAAGCATACATTTAACAGAAACGGTCTTAAAAGTTTTATACCTGCTTTAAAATATGCTGATATCCATGCAGTATCTTCTTTAGGTGCCAGCTACACTCTATCCTAGACAAACAGTATTTTATATAAATTTCAAATTCACAGTACGTGATTTTTATAAGAGATCAGAAAGCCTGCTATACAACAACTTAAGTTTTCCTTCAAGAAAAACCCAAAGTAAACAATACTTCAAAATTTCTTTGAGTTTTCATATTCAAAGTTATTTAAAACTTTCAAATGTCACTATCCCTAAGCCCATTAAAAATTAAGCATTTACCTACAAAGGCCTCTGTTCTTTGCTGACAACAACAACATAATTCTTGCAAGCTAATATGACTTCATAAAATATACCAATATTTTAAAATGATATCCTGAAAACGTCGAAGTTACCTACAATGTGGTTTTAAGTATCCAACCTAGAATGTAATAAAGCTGTCGAATACCACATCTGTTCACAGTTCAGAGCAGGCTGGCCTAGGCAGAAGTATGGAATACAACGTTGCAGACTAATCCATGCATGTGTGCATACACACAATACACCCCCCACACCCCACACCCCCATACTACTATTGTAAACACTCACAGGAATAACAACAGAGCTTTTAAAGAAAAGTTGGGTAACGCAAATTAGTATGTATTAACAGGAAAGAGAAAATGATGGTTAGCATAGCTTTTGTAACTTCAAGTATATAATTGCTTAAATTTACAACTTTGCACTGAATTTTCTGTTTCCCAAATGGTGACATATAAGTAGTCCGATTTAAATAAACATTTTTTTCCAAGTACACTGATTTATATATAAATACAACCAATTAATTACAACAGGTTTCAAAGTTAATTAACAACAAAATATTTTGATATAGGCAATGTTTATTGTCAGCGTTTATTAACACTGATGCTGTACAATTTTGTTGCGAGGTTAAGTTGAAACCAGTAAGAATTAATTAGCAACACTGATATTGGAAAAAATAATAATTCATATGCATATCCATCATTGCTTTTATCAAAATAAACTTTTGTTACATACACTTACAAATTGTTTTCCTAAAGCTGTCCTACCTTGCATTTTTCAGTTGCAAATCCATTGGTAACAGTACCCTGATATGGAAGTCTCTACCCTTGAAAATAAACATTTAGTTAATAGGAAGGTCAGCAAAGAAAAATAGTTAGACGCTTGTGGGAAGTATTCCCCATAAGATCAGCTACTAAGAAAGAAAGTTTGTCTTATCTGACTTTCAGGAATATTTTTCAGAATTTCTTTATTTAGGAAGAAGAAGCAGCAGCATGAGTGACAGGTAGAAATAACGCTGATTTTAACTCTGAAGTGGAAATACTCTTGACCTCTAACTCACAGTATTCAGTAAAAACTCTTCAGTGCATCACATTTCATAAAGCAAAAATAACACCTTTGAGAAGAAAAATAAACATTATCCAAATCTGGACAAAACCAAGAAATATAATTTAATCCAAGTTATGCTAAAGTACACGAAAGTCTGTCTTCAACTCAAGTCAAAGTCAAAACAGACTCTTATCATAAAAGTACTATACTACAAAGGAACTTGGGCACTCATCCACAACACATTTCAGCAAGGTTTTAGAAACTGTAAACAAAAACAGTCACAAGTACACGAATGTAATTTTTTCTCCTGTTAGGGCAATCCGTATGGGGCAGTTCCTAAATGCCACCTACTTGTATTTTCAGCAATTGTCCCGATTTGTGATCCTCCCTCTAACTTCTGATGGGATGATCAAAATAAAACTGAAATAAAGAAGGTTTGTGAGTAGGTTTAACTCCTCCCTGAAGCGAAGAGGGCAGTTAACTCATCTCAAAACTTTTATTCCAGACTCTGTTCCAGCTCAGCATACCTTGAATTCTGTCCACAAATTCTGAGAGTTCTTCA